TTTCTTGAAGAAATTCTCTACCATGTGGTCATCAATGAGCATCAAGGTGGTATATCAGTCATATTTAAGTTCATAATGGGGATGTAGAGAATAAAAATGGTAGGTATAGCTATACACAGGCAATAAAGTTTATTTTGTATAACTGGTATGTTATATAAAGTGACATAAAATTAAATTTTATCAGTTGAACATTTAAATAAATGCACAGGAAGAATTAACATCTAGTAATTATACTATGTGCAGTGAACTTATATACACTCTGGAGCAAAGTAATAATAAATATAGCCTTGATTCCTACCTTCTATGGGGTTAAGTATGCAAGAGAAATAGGATCTATGTTTATAAAATATTTACATAATTCCAGATCATTTATGTTCTTTCCTTAATATATAAGATAGGACCTGAAATGTGGTATGTTCTCAAACATTACTGAATGAATGAATATATGGGTAAATGGTATAGACTGCATGTGCTCTAAGGATTCAGAGCACAGACAGAGCACAGACAGGTTGTTGTAGGCTGGAGCACTAAAGGAAGATCTTAAACTGGTTCTTGAGAAGGACTTGAGTCTGGGTGAATGAAGAATGGACTTTAAAATGCCTTTGGGATTCTCAATGGATAACGAAGAGATTGGCATAGGTAAAAAAATGCTTTAAACTAGGACAGGATAAAGACATGTAAGTTTGGAGAGTGTCAGATTGTCAGTAAACTCTTCTGTTAAACATAAATTTAAGCAACAGAATGGGTCTTTTTCATATTCCTTGCACAGGGTCTGACACATAAGATGGATTCAATAAGTATTTGCTGACTACCTGACAGACTGGGTGATTGACTAATGGAAACTTCAAAAGTTAGTTCCAAGAACTTCCCCTTCAGGCAATGATAAAATTGATGTTTTAGGAAAATTCAGCTATAATTGGAGTATAGGATGTCAGATATAATGGTGGAAAATAAAATACAATTAGGAAGCTCTTATAGATGATAGGAGACTGAGAGGGAAATGGACAAGAGGTTTTGGCTGGGAATTGAAAGGAATAATGTTTTTTTAATAATGCTTTTAGTACTCAGAAGAAAGATAGCCAAGAGTTAGGTTTCTCTTCTTTGACTCTGTCTTGGATCAGGTTCCCTAGAAGCAGAGCCTGAGATGGGGGTTTTTGTATGAGGGACTTAGTGAGGGAAGCAACAGAACAGAGGAAGAGTTTGGACCATGTGTTCAGCTGAAGTCTAGCCTCAGTTTGGAGTGGGAAGCATACCACAGAGTTGCCCCTCCTTAAGGCCAGGGGACTGACCATTATGTCCCCCAGTCAGCCAGTCATTAGCTGTGGGCTGGACCCCTAGGTAGGAAGTAAGGGACCATCACCTCACAGGAATTTTCTTGCTAAGTGGCTGGTTCCTTTTAGCCAAGGGCAGTTCTCAAGAGAAGGATGCAGTTGTGAGGTATTAAGAGGCTGTGACTCACAGCAGCTAGAGTTTCGGTGCACTTGCCTGATAAAAAGAATTTGGTGGGGGAGACTACCAGTGTCATCTACTCCCTGCTATAGTCTGTTCTTCATACATTGTCCTGCTGGGAACCTTCTAGTAGCTTCCCTTTACATCCAGAGTAAAATCTAAACCCTTTATCTGATCTATACAATCTGGCCTCTTTCTACTTCTGTGGCTCGTACATTCTCTCTCTATCCAAACTTTGTTTTTCTTTCTCAAACACGCCAAGCTCATTCTCGTCTCAGAGACTGTGCTTGATTTTTATTCTGCCTGGAATGCTCTTTTCCCCCAGATTTTCATGACTAATTTCTCATTGTACAAGCCTCTCTCTCCCCTCCGATGTCACCTCTTCAGAGAGATCTTCCACTGTCTGTCTTTCTTTCTTTTTTTTTTTTAAAGATTTTATTTATTTATTTGAAACAGAGAGAGAGATCACAAGTAGGCAGAGAGGCAGGCAGGCAGAGAGAGGGAGAAGCAGGCTCCCCACTGAGCAGAGACCCTGATGCGGGACTCCATCCCAGGACCCCGAGATCATGACCTGAGCCGAAGGCAGAGGCTTAACCCACTGAGCCACCCAGGCACCCTGTCTGTCTTTCTTAAGGAAAGGGGCTGTAATCTGCACAAGTTATTTTGTCCTGTTCACAACTATCACCGTGGTGCATTGATGAATGGACACCCAAAATATGTCATTGAATGACTAAGCAATGGTTGGAGAGAAATTAGGAGGTAAGGGTTCAAGATCTCCCTAAGATAATGGACAACTGTGAAAGAAGTAGAAACACTGATAAAAATAAGAAATGTGAGGAGTATGTCCAATTTGTGTGGAAAGATGTGAAATTTTGTTTGAGATAACAGCATAAAATATATGGTAGAGTCAAATAGTATAGGGTGGCTGGCTGGCTCAGTCCGTGTGGAACATGAAACTCCTAATCTCTGGGTTGTGAGTGTGAGCCCCACATAGGGTATAGAGATTACTTAAATAAAATGTTTTTTTCTTTTTAAAGGTGTATACTTTCTAGAACTAAATTCATATCCTAGTTCAACCACCTTCCAAGAACTTGCTCAAGTTATTTAAGTTCTCTGTGCCTCAGTTTCTTCACCTGTAAATGAAGATAATGATATTTTCTTCCTCATAAGCTTATTAAGAGGACTTCATGAATTAATATCTATAAATCAGTAAAACAGTGTCCAGCTAATAGCAATATTTTAGTGGAATTTAAGGAGTCTACATAGATTAGAGAGAAACCAGGCTGGGACTCAGGTAAGATGAGTGATGAACCTACAGGACAAAATCTGAGGAAGAGCTTACTGAGGGTTGTGCACTTGCACAACTGAGTGTGCTCCTTTCAGTTTTGCACTATGGACCCTTCAATTGTCTCACCCTAATCCTGATCCTGGTCTTAGTCAGCAAAGGGGAAAACCCTTTATTGGTAAGATTCTCTAAATCTGGGCACCTTTAACATCTTTATTTCTTTAAGATTTTATGTTTAAGTAATCTCTACACCCAACATGGGGCTCAGACTCACAATGCTGAGATCAAGAGTCTCATGCTCTACCAACTGACCAGCCAGGTGCCCCAGTGTGGGAGTGGTTTCTTGCTCTTGCCAGTCTCTGGGTTGTCTCACTGTCCTCTGTTTGCTTTGCCATCTTTTCCGTTACTTACATAATCAGTTCCTGTAGTCAGTCCCCTCTGCTCAGATCGAGTAGTGGATTCTGTTTCTCTGGTTGGGCCCTGACTGACATAACAATACATAATATACTCTAATCCTTCACAATAAGCATAGAATTTCTGAGATGTGGGGGGAAGAAGCCAATATTCATGGAGTGCCTTCAAGGCTTTCGATACTTTAACATATAAAATAGTTCATCTTCATCAGGTAGTGGAGTGGTGCCCGCTGGATACTTTATAGGAGAGAAAGCAGAGGATTATAACTCATAACGGTTTGAGATTCATCCACATTGTAGCATATATCAGTACTTCACTCTTTTCCTTGCTGAATAATATTCCATGTCAGGTATATACCACATTTTGTTTATCCATCCATCCACTGGTGGATATTTGGCTTACACCTTTTGGCTATTGTGAATAGTGCTGCTCTGAGCATGCATGTACATGTGTTTATTTAAGTTCCTGTTTTCTGTTCTTTTGGGGATATATGAATTCATTAATGTCTAGCTTATTTTCTAATTCTAATTCCTGTGAATTTTAGATTACAAAATGACAAAATACAGTAATTTCTGTAAAAATATGTTTCTCTTCCTAAAGACTTACTCATATCTATAATCTAGTTTTAGTTTATTCTGCAAGTTTTGCTCATATTTCTACCTACTTTATAGGTATTTGTGCATGTATATATGTGTAAGTATGTATGTACACAAGAGAGAAAGAGACAGTGTTTCTGTTTTTTTAACATTTAATGTAGCCATTCTGGGACTCAAAGTCCCCAGAACTATTTGCTTGTGTTTCATATTGATTAAAGAGGCCATGCATCTTTCAAGGTAAGTGCTAATAAAGAAGGATTATTTAGAAATTCGGGCAAACAAATGTAGCTATTTTCAATTGTATGCAAGTAAAATTTTATTTCTCTCATTAGGACAAATATAGAGCAGATGAGGGAGGGATCATTGTAATTGTAAAATCACATAAATTATATAATTTATGTGAAAAGAAAATATAATCTAAAATAAATCAAATGCACAAATAAAAAAAACCCAGGTGTAAATTTTTTATTTATGAAATGGAACCCTTTGAAAGGAGAGGAATGCTGATAGCAACCTTTCTGTGCAATATACTACACTTCTGTTCTTACCTCTTACATTTTCAAAGTCATACATTGTAATTTAGTTCCACTCCCATTAATATGAGTGGGAGTTTTGAAACTTAAATTTCTGCACAAATCTTTGAAAATGTATAGGTCAAAGTAAACTGTTAATGCAGAGCTGGTTTTTACTTTTAGTGAGATATTTTGCTTCTCTCACCAAAGATGTCCTAGAAGGCACTTTCATTCTAGTCACAGGAGAAGAATTATGTATAAGGTTACTCTTTGGAGGTCATCATCTTTAAAACAACATGGATAATAAATCATATTAAGGAGAAAAAAAAAGCATTTTCCCAACCCTAAAGAACACAAAAGTTCAAGACCCATATTGTTTTATAGTAAGTTAAGGACCTTGGACTCTTTCAGTGGACCCTTTCAGCCCAGTGCATTGGATCAGTGATAGAGGCATGCTAAGGTGAATTTTAATTAGGACTAAATTGTGGTATTACTCTTTCATACCCTGAACATCTGTTCCCTTCAGAAATGATGATTTATGCAGGCTATCAGAGCAGACAGCTTGCTACAGCTTATGTCACGGTTAGTGGTAAGCTGGTGGTAGCATTTCAGAAAACCAGCATCTAAATGGAGACTGGCCAGTGTATATGATATAGGTAAGGTGGGGGGGAGGAGAAGTATAATGTGTCCATTTCTAGTTTTGAAGCCAAATATTGACTTGACTTAAAAAAAATTCTCTTCTAGACCATCTGTTGTTAATGAAGAAAGTAACTTGGACAATGAATGGGCTGATGCTTCCTACTGATGTTAAAGGACAGAAAACCAAACCTGTTCTTTCTCTTAGAATGAAGGGACTTACAGAGAAGACCTCAGTCCGAATTCTGTTCTTTAAGAATGGCATGGGGCAAGATGGGCATGAGATTACAGTGGGAAAGGAAACAATAAAAAAGGTAATGTTGTATGAAATATTAAAATATAAATTAAATTTCAAAATTATCATGGCTTTTGAAATGTGTTGGTTTCTTTCTTTTAGATATCAGTGTCAACTAATAAACTGAAATATTAAGAACATATTATAAAGAATGCAAAATTTCAGCTGTTTAGAAGGATGCTTACTGTAGTAAGCTTACCTTAATAAAGCAACAAGATTTCTTTGGCTAACATACAGTTGGCCATTTACCTAGTTAGAAGTTATGCTTACACTTAGAGAACATTCTAGTTGGTTATAATATTTTGTAAAATATTTAGATTGAAGCCAATCTGATCTAGCTTCAAATCTAAAATTTTCTCCTTTTCATTTTTAAAATTATAAGTTTAGGGGCACCTGGGTGGCTTACTCAGTTAAGCATCTGCTTTGGGCTTAGGTCATGATCTCAGGGTCCTGGGATGGAACCCCACAACTGGCTCCCTGCTCAGTGGGGAACCTGCTTCTCCCTCTCTTTTTGGCCCTCCTTACCACTTATATATTCGTTCTCTCTCAAATAAAATAAAATCTTAAAATAATAATAATAATAATAATACCTAGAAGAATCCTTGCTTCCGGAATGAGTAAGTAAAGTGGAAAATAACTAGGATTCCTTTTAAAAGTATCCATATGCATTTTTTAAAAAAGATTTTTATTTATCTGACAGAGAGAGAGATCACAAGTAGGCAGAGAGGCAGGCAGAGAGAGGGGGGAAGGAGGCTCCCTGCCGAGCAGAGAGCCCTTGCGGGGGCTCAATCCCAGGACCCTGAGATCATGACCTGAGCCGAAGGTAGAGGCCCAACCCACCAAGCCACCCAGGTGCCCAGGCACCCCTCCACATGCATTTTTAAAAGCAAATGTAGGTGGGTCTAAGAAAAATCATGTAACAATCAAGCAAACTTTAAGAAACAAATTTTGTCATATAAATGCATGTTTTTTAGGGGGTACGTGTATTTCCCAGATCATCTTTGATCTGACAAAAATATGGAGGAACTAATAGGAGTTTGAAGAAAAAATTTTTTTTTTACAAAGCAGGCTAATAATACCAACTAAAATTTATTAAATATATATTAGAGAGACAGTAAAACATAACCAACCTGTCCAGGTTTTAATCCTGGCTTTGTCATTGAATCTATGAGACTTTGGACACTTTACCTTCTCCAAGCCTCCATTTCTTTCTTTCTTTCTTTCTTTCTTTCTTTCTTTCTTTCTTTCTTTCTTTCTTTCTTTCTTTTTAAAGATTTTATTTATTTATTTGATTGAGATCACAAGTAGGCAGAGAAGCAGGCAGAGAGAGAGAGAGAGAGAGGGAGAAGCAGGCTCCCTGCTGAGCAGAGAGCCTGATGTGGGGCCTGATCCCAGGACCCTGAGATCATAACCTGAGCCTAAAGCAGCTGGTTAACCAACTGAGCCACCCAGGTGCCCCATAGAGCCTCCATTTCTTCATCTAAAAAATGTGGATAACAATAGTGCCTATCTCACAGAAATGATAGGAAAATTCAGTATAGTTTTATGCATGGAGTGACAGCACCCAGAAAGTTCCCAATAAATATATGCCATTCTTATCTTTAGAACTAATAAATATACATCTACTAGAAATTATTTATTTTACTAAAGGGAGAGATTTGTTATGAAATCAATAGGTATAAATCATTTTGTCATGCCAGAGTATTTTCAAAATGACTGTTGCTTAAAACGGGTGAAGAGTTGATTAGATACTAGGAATTGTTCTTATTGAAATATCTATTTCTTCCTCTTCTTATTTTTGTGGTTACTTTATAACCACAACTGGGTAAGTGTTTACTGAAAATCTAAGAAAATAGGGTTTTTTTTCCTTCTTATCTTCAGATTTGGATTATGAGTAAAACAAGGGATATTACACACCAGAGTAAATTGTTAAGGCAAGTTGTAACATCTTCCCTGGAGATTTTGAAAACTAGAGAAGAGGGACACATCTCTTAGCTCGTTAAAATGCAGTCATTCTTGGAGATAGAACCTAGATTAGATAACCTCTTGAGTTCACTTCAGTTCAATCTTTGTAATTCTATGCCTTGGTGGTAAAATGGGGGTAATAGTCACTCTTAAAGATTACATGTTCTTAGATGAAAGGTTGAGTATAAGTAAAAATGTCACTGCTATTTTGCTCTTTGACTCCAGAGAGATATTTATTTAAAAGTGGATGATAAAGCAATTTTTTAGCTTATTTTTTTTCTCCTTACAATTTGTAAAATTTAAAGAATTTTCACAATTTGTAAAATTTAAAGAATTTTCACAATTTATAAAACTTAGGACATGATTCAGTAATACACATATTTGTACAGTTTTGATTAAATAGGGAATATAGTCAATAATAATGTTATAACTTTGTGTGATGACAGATGGAAACTATGCTTATCATGGCGAACACTGCATAATGTATAGAACTGTCAAATCACTATGTTGTACACGTGAAACTGTATAACATTGTATGTCCACTATACCTCAAATAAAAAATACTTAATAAAGATAAAGATAAATACTTAATAAAGGTAAAGATTAGGAAGCAACAGAATCCTGGCCCTGATTATCAATAGAATTTTTTGAAGAGAAAAAATAAGTCTACCTAATTATTTTGTAGATAAAATTTACATTTTGAAAGTTTATTGATAATCACAAGATAATGCCGTATTTATAGATTAACTACCGACTCAGTAATAGGAATAAAAAAGTGGCATTGTCATAGGAGAAACACAAAATATTTCTCTTTTATGATAAAATATTAGGACTGCTAGGGATTAGAAGCTATTTTTAGATTATTATGAAGTAATAAAAAGCTGGAATAGGCTGTTAAAAGACTCTAATATGGTGTAGGCTATTGCAGTGGGACAAAGAGAAAATTATTGAAGATGGTGGTAAAGTAAGTTAGTTAAGGCATAAAAGTCTTCTCTGAGCTCAGATGGAGCCATAGGAAAATGACTATATTTTAATCTTAAGTGCCAAATCAGAAGGAAATCATTTACTTATTTTAAAAGGTTAAGTAATTAAGAAGTTTAATATGAGGGCAAAAGTGCTATATTTCTTTACTAAACTTGGGATATCCCAACTATGGTCCATCTCTTTGAAACTTGAATTAGATGATTTTAGAATTACTGGGTATGGTTTAATAATAACACAGCACCTGTTACTATGAGGAATAGGCTAAACATATGTATCCAGGGGTTGAAAAAGATATTAAGGGGGTGCCAGGGTGGCTCAGTCATTAAGCATCTGCCTTTGTGTCAGGCCATGATCCCAGTGTCCTGGGATCCAGTGCTGCATCAGGCCCCACATCAAGCCCTGCATGGAGCCCTGCATTGGTCTCCCTGCTCGGCGGGAGGCCTGCTTGTCTCTCTTCCACTCCCTAGGCTTGTGTTCCCTCTCTCTCTGTGTCTCTCTCTCTCTATCAAATAAATATATAATCTTAAGGGGAAAAAAAAGGTATTAAGAATAATTTGGGGCACAAGATACAAAGTTAATGGAAAATGAAAAATTATCTGCTCCAGATACATAACTTTTTAAGGCTAGCATTGTGATTGGTGGATAAGTTTTATTTTCCATCAATTATCTCTTAGAGTCATTGTCAAAGAAGTGGCATTAACTGTACCAAGTATTTTATTATCTAGAATATCATCTCCTTTATGAGAAATCTTTTTTTTCTCAGCACTTAATAGTTATGTTTTATTTGTTTTTTTGCATGGTTTTCTATGTGCTATCATAACTAGCATGAGATTGCAATGGTGAAAACGACGATGAAAAAGATAATGAATGAATGAAACAATGAAAAAGTACCCTGTCCCCTTGGTCCAGTTTGAATTGATTGTTCTCTTTAACCTATATTCTGGGATTTCCCTGGACTATCAACCTGGGGATTATCTTTTCCTCTCTTTTCTGTTGGATTCCTCTCTCCTACTTCTCTAATGCTCCTCTGTCTTCATTTAGTCTATTAGACACATATTCTTGTTGCTTTCTAAGAAAAAGGACATGGGAGATAAGTTTTTTGAGATCTTGGGAAATCATTCTTTCCTCCAAATATTAGAGGTATTGCTCCATTGTTTCTTGTTTCCAGTGTTGCTATTGAGAAGTCTGATACCATACTGAGTTCTCATCCTTTGTAGGTGACCTGCATTTAATTTTTCTCCTCCAAAAACATTTAGAATTATTTCTTTGTTTCCCAGGGTTCAAAAGTTTTTCCAAGATGTGCTAGATACTCAGCATGTCTCTTCAGTCTTCAGTCTCACCTTTCTCTTTTGAGAAATTTTGTTGAATTATTTCTTTCACAATATCTTTTTCTTTTCTTCTTCTGTTCTGATTTTATGGAACTCCTATTTTTATATGTTGGATCTTCTTAACTGAACTTCTAGTTTTATCTGAGTGTTTTCCTTATCTTTACCTTCTAACCCAATGAATATTTTTGTTTCTGCTTCCTTTACTATCTATTTTCTAAGTATTTGGGTTTTTTTGTTTGTTTGTTTTGTTTTCTTTCATGTTTCAGAGTTTTCTTAAAGATGGGTTAATCTTCCATTAGTATTTAAAAGTGCAGAGCTCAACACCAATTGAAAAGCTCTTGAGCATAAGAATGTCTTCCTCAGAGCGTCTGGGTGGCTCAGTGGGTTGAGCCTCTGCCTTTGGCTCAGATCATGATATGGGGGTCCTGGGGTCCTGGGATCAAGTCCTGCATCAGTCTCTCTGCTCAGCAGGGAGTCTGCTCCCCCCACCCCCACCTGCCTCTCTGGCTACTTGTGATCTCTCTCTGTCAAATAAATAAATAAAATATTAAAAAAAAAATGTCTTACTGAGACATGAGTCACATTGGAAGAGTGTTTTGACTAGGCTTTTTCTTTATGGTGGGGGAGTGGCTAATTCTCAGTGTTTGTCTTTACTCTGGGACTAATCAGTTTCTCCAGCAAAAATCTGCCAGTTTGAGCAATCTCATAGCCAAGTGGATAAGGCGACTGAGGGTTGTACTTT